AGCAGACTCCCCCAGGTGGTCTTGTTTTCCCTCCTCGCTCCTCCTCACCTGTGGTCCAGCAGAGGTGTTACAGTCGGCAGGACCTGCAGCAGGATTCGTACACGGCGCTTGTGCTTAGGAGGCAGCTAATGTGGAAGAAGGAGAGAGCTCCAGGCTGTCCTGCTGCGGAGGGCTGTGCCCGGCATTGGGCTTCATTCTCCTGCACAGCTTTGCTGTGATTTAATGAGGGGGAGAACAAAAAAGGCGAGAATTAGAGCCAAGTTTCCACAACTATCACCTCCAGATTAAAAGACTCCAGCCTGCTGACCTCCAGATCCTAGCGTGGTCTTAGCAGTGCCTCTGTGCTTTCAGCTAACGGGCCGTTAAGGGGCGCTAACACAGGTGACCATTAAGTTAGGTGTCAGGACAGTTTAACTGAGCTGTTAGCTTCAGCTGCTAGCTCGCTGATAGCCTGCTTTCTATCCAAAAATACAGCCGAGCTGGTGCTAGCTATGCGGGGAAATTCAACCCTGTTCTCCCCGCAGGAGAGCCGTGAACGCCTCTAACCTGTCTCTCGGACTCCTGGCGGCTTAATTAACTAGTTATTAATTCAGCGACCGGCTGTAAATCCACTCACCGGATGGACTGACTCGTTCCCAGGGAAAAAAGTCAGAAGTGGCGATGCTGCCTCCGGCCACAAACTACCGTTACTTTCCTCCGTGGGGCTCGGCGATCACTTCCTCGCTGGTGAAATCTTAATCTTCTGGCAGCTCACGCCATCTCTGCGCTTCTAACCTCTCACCTCTCTAACTGACGAGCTGCCCGCTGCTAATGAAAAAGGGGAAGATTATTATTTGCCGTAGTAAATCAAATCATGACCCCTGCCAGACGCCGTAGAGTCCTGCAGCGAGTCGAGTGAAGCCGCATAGTCGCGACACCTCCCGGCAGAAGCGCGAAACTACAGCCGGAGGAGGGCGTACATGGTTGGGAGGGCTCTCCCGTCAGCCTCAGGTGACCCCTTTTAAAAATTCAAGGTGTGCCTGTCAGAGTCAAGAGGTGTCATCCGGGCCCGACTTGGCTCCGAGATGACAACAAAAATTATTTATTTATTTTTATGGTGAATGAGAAGTTAGAGAGAACTGAGTTTGGAGACCACTGCTTGTTGCAGATCTCAAAGGTTAGAGACAGGGCCTGCATTTTGATCCGGTTGTCTAAAAGTCTCAGAAGAAGTCACTATGCGCACTGTGAACGTAAGGGCTGTATATGTGCTGATTTCTTAGATTTGTTTGGCATATTTGTCACACTTGCATGTTTCAGATCATCAAGCAAATTTTAATATATTATTTTTAAAAGATAAGCCAACTAAATATAAAATGCAGTTTTGAAATGATGATTTTATTTATTAGGGGGAAAAAGCTATCCATATCTGGCCGTGTGTGAAAAAGAAATTCACTGCAAATCAGCTGTGATTAACCACATTTTTGGAAAACTGAGTTCAATTTGAATTAAAACAGAACATGTATGACAAAATGAGGCAGGCTAAAAGAGTTGAAACAGCTACAGAAACAGCTGAGAAACAAAGTCACTGGCATCTATCAGTCTGGAAAAGTGTTAAAAAGCCATTTGTAAGGCTTCAGGAGTGCAGTGAACCAAATAAAGAGCCATTTTACACAAATGGAGTAAACTTGAAAGAGTTGTGAACCTTCCCAGGAGTGACCGGGTAACCAAAATTATTCCAAGAGTGCACTGATGACTCATCCAGGAGGTCACAGCAGAACCCAGAACAACATCTACAGAACTGCAGGGCTCACTTGTCTCAGTTAAGGTCAGAGTTCATGATTCAACAATAAGAAAGAGACTGGGCAAAAATACTCTGTGGACTGATGAGACAAAAGCTGATCTTGAAGATCCTCCACAGTGATGACTCATTGCTAGTTATCGCAAACACTTGATTGCTACCAAAAGTCACACAAGAACCATTAATGAGGTTTATAGGGCAATCACTTTTTCACACAGGGGCAGGTAGGTTTGGATAGCATTTTTCACTCAGTGAAGAAATGATTTTGTATTTACTTGTGTTATCTTTGTCTAGTGTTAAATGTGTTTGATGATCTGAAACATGTAAGCATGACAAATACACAAAAACTAAGAAATCAGGAATGATGTAAGTAAGTAAGTTTCCGTGTTTCATGAACGCCCCTGCAGCTTCAGAGTGAGGGTCTGACCTCTATGTGGTTAAAAGAGCCTCGTCCATCTCAAGAGAGTCATGAATAAGCCATGTGACAGCCAGGGCCCTATCAGGGATGAGTCTTCACATCAGGGAAAAATAACACCAAAGTGAAACTAAAATACTGTGGAACAAGCTGGATAGTTCACTCATTACAATAAACAGTGAAGGAACGTTTTACTTCACCATCCTTTAAGATTTAGTAGCTAAACCTTTAATAATAAATCCCTATGGAAGACTGTCACCAATAACAATGTGAGTAAGCATAATTATGACTTATTATCTCTTAATTACAAGTTAGTATCTCACAGGTTTGATGGAAATTCTCATAACAATCATTTAGTGTCTCATAAGAGATGACTTTAGTATGATAATGAACTTTATTGTCATACTCATGAATGTCTTTCTTTTGATATTTGGACCTCATATACTTATAAGAAGCGATGCCTTCATCATATCTTAAAATTAGGATTTAGCATCTTCTAATTAATAATTAACAATGACTTAATGCCTCATATCAGACAATAATGAGCCTAAATATCATAATTATGACTTGCTCACTCTTTTTTTAATTTGTATCCAGCGATGTAATACAAATGCTCAAGGTTATGACTTAATGTGTCATTATTGTCATATTTTTGTCATAATATAAAAACGTTATTAAAGTATCATAACAACAAGTTTCACTTGTATTATTAGTTCATTTGTGGCCAGTTTCTGAGCGTGCTGCCAGATAAAGACTCCAACACCACACATGTAACTGCAAATTAAAGAGCTGTTTATGTAATAACAACATAAATATCAGTCAGACTGAGGATATAACAGGTTTTTATAAACATGTAGTTGCTTTATTTTGCCTTTGGGGGCAGCACCGAGTCTCTGTTGCTGTATGTCCCTGCAGGTGATGGAAGAAGTGTGAGAACATCTAAAAAAACTCCCATCATTGACAACCGGTCAGTGCCAACCCACATAAAACACACTCTCACACACATATACTGTGGTGCTGCTGACAGGCAGTGGGGAGAGGCGGAGATGCTGGTGCTGCTCCAGGTCATGTACACCGACCTGGACTTCCTGACGGAATTCCACATGGAGCTGCAGAATTTCCTGTTTGAGAAGTACTGTCTCTGTGTCACCCAGATGGCTGGAAAACCAGGAGGGAAACACCTTTACCTCAGAAACATAAACAATTAAATTCAGGAGAAGTTGGTGTTTTTATATAAAAACTGCTGTTGGTGCGTCTGTGGACTCTAAAATCAAACACATAAAAAAGCCTGAAATGGAAATAATATTGCAGTTATGTATCTTTTAAAGTGTAGCTTTGTGTAGGGCTATTACTGACAAACACAGCTGATGTCCACATCATGGACCACATACAGGAAGTTCAAAGGAAGTCTACACGGTCAGGTTTATAAACATGGCGGTCTTAACATCGGGATGTGTCTCCCTGTGGTTAATGTGGATTTATCTAATGCAATGCTCAGACCATCTTGGCTCTGGAGAACCACCGCTGTGCTGTCACCTCTGTCCGCGGTACAACAAAAGCACGAGTTCAGCTGTTCATAGCTACAGAGAAAACACGTTTTAACTGTGAATAGTAATGACACAAGGTAAAAGCAGCAGCTTTAAGATTGGCTCTAATAAACTGCACCATGTTAATCTTACTGCTTTGATGCAGAAGCAGTTTTGTGCAGATCAAAAAGTTGGTATTGAAACACCGAATGAAACGGTTAATATGTAAAGATATTAATGTGCTCAGACAGTTCTGTTTGCATAAGAGATAATTAGAGATAATAAAAGCAAGATCCAAATGAAAAAAACAAGCAAACAGAAAAACTAACACAGTGCAGAGGAAGAGTTTTTATTACAGAGTTGGAGATGGAGAGAGCAACCAAAGAGGAGGAAGTGTCCAGTCCACAAATTGTTGACTCTTTCTTGAAAGATTACTGGCTGTGTTACATCAGAAAGCTTAATAAATACAAATGTGTGGTGTTAATCTTACAGTTTTTATGGCGTTGTTTGGATTCAGGCTGCTTTTAATGTTTGATGATCTTTAAGAAAGGAGTTAATGCTTCTCACTTCAGAGCAGACTGTCTGTTTTGATCGATTGTATCTATTTTGTAAGGTCACAGAGGGGCTGGAGCGTATCCCACGGCGACAGGTGAAGTCAGAGAAATAACCACACTTAAATTAGGTGAAGCTAATGTGGACGTGTTTGAACTGTGGCAGGAAACAGACAGGCTTGTCAGGAGGTCTGAACGACCAGCGCCATCTGGTGAACTAATCCAGTTCATTTAAACAGATGGATGCTTTACTGATCCCCCTGATGTGAAACAGTGAGTAAATATTTTTAATATTTGTTAAAAAATGGATCCAGTTTTGATTAAATTACTGTTGATTCTGTGTGATTAGAGTTTTTAAAAGCTTCTAAGTAAAAAAATAAATAAAAAAGGGAGTCGAGTTTATTCTGAGGTTAAGTTCAAAGTTTTCGTTTGTTCTTCAGTCCCTTTATTTCCAAAGCCCACAAACAAAAGTGCAGATGTGTGATTTCTACCTCATAACCACCCACCATTCAAATAAAACGTGGAGTTGATGTTATCCTGTCTGAAACGCACTAACTTAACAAACACTAAACGTTCAGTATTTACAGCACAGAGAGCTTTCCGGTACATTCTGTTGGCATTTGTCAAAGAAAACACTAAACGGACGAGTTTCCCTCAAAGGTTCTCGTCTGTGTGGAGTGTCAGCAGCACCCGTGTCTTTCCACACCAACACAAACACAACGAGCACTGAGCGCGCTCAGATCAGCTTTAAAATGACCTTCGTGGACACATTATCACATCCTCACATGGTAACAGTTAGTTAATGTCAGTTTACATAACGGGAGCTCACAGTACCTTAAAGTGTTAAAGCAGCATCAGACTGGTGGGTATGAAACCGCTGCTGTAAAGGCTCACACACGCAGACACACACCGTTTCTCTGACTTCGCTTCTCTTAGATGATTCACTAGAGTGAAAAGCAAAGCGTCGCTCACATGGCCTTTAATTATGAGTGACTTGGCAACATTTTCCCTTTGCTTTGTCTTTAAATCCAGTTTGTGATTAAAAGAAAGAGCTCGATTAGCTTATTTGAACTAGAACTAGGGCCTGTGAGTATGTGTGGGAGCCTTTAGAGCAACTAAAGCAGGTTTCATATTGTTAAATAGGAACTTAGAGGAGGAAACGAAGCTCCTTCCATCGCCTCCTCGTACAGCTCTGGACCGCTTCCAGCACCACTGATATTTGGACACAGCTCGCTAAAAGTCCTTTAGTGACTATCTTCTCTTTAAACGAGTCAAAACAAACACCTTCAACACTGAATAAATAAATAACACGTCAGATGTCTTCAAACCATCTCCTCAACAAGGAGAAGAAAAGAGTCTTTTCAGCTGCTTTAGGGGTAAAATTTGCTGCAGCTGCCGTCTCTCCTGCAGATTACAGCTTTGATCATTAATATCAAATATAAATGTAGTACCAAAGAAATAATGTGGATTAAATGCCTCAGCAGCAAATAAAATGATGAAAATGAGCTTTTTTCCCCTCCTGCAGTGCAGGAAAGAAACACTGAGCTGCCTGCTCTGGGAGCTGTTCTAATGGATGCTGTTTGCTTTTTAAGTTTTCTGGTTTGGTGTTAAATTAGATGTTAAATCTTTGTGCAATCAGGTCAAACATGACAACCACAGAGCATTTTAACTTGTTACTCAGTGAAATTCAACCAGGATGAAGCCTTTAGCTCTTCTCTGATCTGATAAACTTGTGAAAACCCCAAAACTATTCTAAAGGCCATCAAACCACAACTTTATGGATATGTACCGAGGTCAAAGCTGGTCATTCAGGGTCCAGGGGAGGTCGTCTCTATGAGGAAAACAGCTGAGATGACTGGAAGCGGTTCAGAGGTGCACACCCATCCTCTAAGATCAGGGTTGCTTTTTGATTTTTATGGGTGGAGTTTAGTTGGAGAGCTTTGTGATTTCCTCTCTGTGCAAAGAATCTGATTGGCTGGTAATTAGAAGAACAACCAATGCTACAGTAAAACAAACAAACAAACAAGGTTTAGTGTTTGAGGGAGCTGGCATGTCCACCAGACGCATGAACACAGGCAGGAGTAATATATAAATATGGCAGCAACACGTACAACAAAAAAAGACAAAGTGCAACAAAGTCCTCAACTTCAAATAAAATCAGCTCCAGATGTGTGTGACCCTCACAGCTGGTCCCATTTCACCTCCAGATTTAAAGATACACATGATCATTTTCCAGTTATGACTGAATATCATCTCATTCAGAAGTGTGTGTGTTTCATAGATACTTGTAGTGCATTTTCTTAACCGATAAAGTTGAATTTGGATTCAAAGAAGAGCTAAACTTTCTAAATATGTTGACGTTTCGGGCCTGAAGATCACTCAACAGGTCTGGATCTGGATATTTGGGGAATAGCACTTCACCAAATATGTTAAATATGTTAAAACCTTATAAATCTTTATAAAGTCTGAGTGTTTTAGGGTTAAATATACACATCTAACACACACAGCCGTTTGAGCTCTAAAAGAGAGGAAAGCTAGGCAGAATAAAGACACCCTTCTGAATGAGATCATCTCTAAAACCTACACCATGAATCAATAAAAACAATCATCACGGAGCCTCAGAGGTCCAAATTTCATTTAAATATGATCAGAGATGATCGTTAACCCTGCGATTCACTCCATACACACACACACTGCCCTGAAGTCGCAGTTTCCCTTCATCTGAATCTCTAAACTGAACGAGCAGCAGCAAATGAACGACGTTAAGGTGGATTCACTATGTTTTAAAGCCTTCCTGCCACTGCGGGGGTGGGAGGATATTGAGGGAGGTGGGAGGGGCTTTTCACAGGTAGCAGAGCAGCGTGGCGTCATCTTTCCAGTTCAACATATTTACACCATCAGGGCAGTAAACCCGCCTCTCACGCTAGTTGAACATGATGGACTCAGGATCCTGGTTCATCATCTGGGCCATGTGACGCAAAACGTCCTTCTTGGTGATGATGCCCAAGAGACGCCTGCAGAGGAGGGATGCAAACAAAGGTCAGAGGTCGTTGCCCATGTGATGAGTAAAGGAAGAATGTGCAGATTAGAGGAGACAAACTGAAACTGCAACCAGATCAGCTTGACAGCCACTCTGATCACACAGATCAATCAACTACAGGAGAAAGTTGAGTCTAAGACCCAGCTTTCTTTGCTGTTGCTGTTCCTGGCAGAAACAGCAAAGCATGGACACTGCGGGCTGGATCACAAAGTGTCCTGACCTCTAAACACCAGCTGACCTCTCATATAAGTGAGTAAACACTAGGGATGGGTATCAAAACCCGGTTCTTGTTGGGAACCGGTTCCCATTGTTTCAATTCCTTGGAATCGTTTGCCATTTTTGCAAACGATTCCCTTATCGATTCCAGTCGCCCCGAATGACGTCACCACGTTGCGGAGCGTCATTTACCTGGCAGGAAACATGGCGCTCAAGCTCAAAAGTTTGGTTATACTTTACGAGAACGGATGACAACAGGGCAACTTGCAATACTTGCAAAGTAGATATTTCATTTAAGGGAGGAAACACTACGAATATGCAAAAGCATTTGCTCACAAAACACGCGATGACCTTAAATGAATGTCGTGTTTTTAATTCCGCTCCGGACTCGTGAATCTCAACCCAGCAGCAGCGGTAACGTTTGCACGTCCTCTCCCGTTAATGCGGCAGGTAAATAATCAACTAACAGTGCATATTATGTTAGCGCGATCTGCCTTATTACAAAACCTGCCATTACTGTGCATTTAGGTGACCATGATGAGAGAGACAGACAGAGTCTGGCTCAGATGCTGGCAGTCTCGCTGCAGTCTACCGGTAGCGTCTCCTTTCAGGCCAGGATAGACGAATGTCACCGAGCAGTGACTAAGTTTGTGGTAAAAGGCTTGCACCCATTTGCCACAGCAGATGCCCCCGATTTTCGGTAAGTGAATGTGTTTAATTGTAGGCAGGGACATTACTGGATATTCTTGTGTAATTGCTACAGAATAATTTATGTTATACTTTGTTATTGCTACAGAAGAATATTTATTTTATTATTTTACATTTACAATTTTTTTCCTGGGGACCCTGTGACACCCCATTGAAGAGCCGTAGGCTGGATCTCTTAAGATCTCACTGTTGGGTTTGTAAGGCCATGTTACTCCTAAATTTCTATCTTGTTCAAAGAGAAGATATAAAACAAAGTTCTAAGCTAATCGACCTTAGTGTTCTCCTTTTTTAAAAAGAATCAATAAAGAATCGAATTGTTAAACAGAATCGAAAATGGAATCGGAATCATGAAAATCTTATCAATACCCATCCCTAGTAAACACTGAATACATTTGGGTTTATTTAAATCTTGGTTATAGGAGACCTATTTTCATTTTTATTTTTTTAAAATAAGTAACAGAGGTAATAAAGATGTAATAACGATTAAAGAAGTCATAAATTAATTGGTTTTAGGAGTTTTAACAATTATTTATGTCACTTTGCTTCATAACTATTAAGACAAATGATCTCATTGAGTCACCAGAGGGAGCCGTTTGCCCTTAAAATAACCTAATGAAAAAGCTGCTGATCTCTTTGATCTAAGCTAAGCCGGCTGCTGCAGAAACATGACCTTAAAAACTTCAGCCCAGCTTCACCTTCCTCATCTTTTTTTTTAAAACTGTATATTTAGAAAAAGACTGGCACATAGAACAGAAAACACTGCACCGAACACCCGATCTCTATTATTCTAGATAAAGCCCTGAAATACTGGCTGCTCTTACCAACAGAGCAGCCAATGACATCAGAGGTGAGCAGGAAACATGAAGCTGCTGCTTCTCTGTTTCCTGCAGACTGGAGCGAATCCTTCTCTGACATTTTAAAGGAATGATACAGATCAGCTTCTGAACTACAAACGGTTTCAGGGTTTTTACTGATGAACGTCACTGCTAAAGTCAAGGTATTCACAGTATTTTTGGTGGCAGGACAACTGCAAATGATCCAGTTTGTCACCAACAAAGTGAAACTATGTTTTCAGGACTTTGTAGGTGCATGAAATCTGACCCCGTTTCAACCCTCTAGCAGATCATTACATGAAGGCACCTTTTGAATACAAGCGCGCTCATGCTCACAGGTGTACACACGGGTGCTCACACACACAAACTACACCTTTTTTGGCTCCTACCTCAAAGCACACTGTGTGCTGTCGATCCTGTGCTGCACAATAATATTCAATATTTAGTATTTGCTGTTATCTTCACATAGATCATCACGATGATGTTGTTTATTATATTGCTCTCTTTTTTTGCTTGTTTTCTTTTTTCTTTCTCAACAGGTGATCCAGGTGACTGATATATGTATTTTTTGTCTGTTTGTTTTTGGTTTTTGCCTTTTATCACCGTTCCTCTTCCCCGCTGTTTTTCTTTCCCCCAGTCATGTCTGTCCCGTGTGTAGCAAGTGAAAATAAAATAAAATAAACAATAAAAACAAAGGTCAATCAAACAGACCAATACGGCAAGGCCGGGATGGTCTGTTTGGTAAAGTAAATCCATTGGGCATCTTTCTTTGCCTTTAGACAACAATTCTGATGGCAAAAGAACATAAATGGGACAGGCGGAAAAAAAAAGAAAAAAGAGAATTTTCAACCGTTTCCATATTTCAGGCTGTAACAGCAGATGGCATTTGGCGTGCTCTTACCCGCTCCTGGTGACCAGACACTGGCGCAGACCAAGCTTGCGGAAGATGTCCACCACGGTCTCCATGGGCGTGTGGTCGGTGACGGTGAATGGGCTGAGGTTGAGGATGCGTCGCAGCTTAAGCGGCTGTGGGTTGCTCGCCGGCAGCTGCGGTGCGTCCTCGGTGAAGTAGACCACTGAGCTGCTCACCACGCCGTCCTGCTTCTGACGGGCGTTCTCTGTGGATGGATCGAGGGGAGGAGTCAGTGGAAACCTTTTGATCGGATTCACTAAAGACTAACGTGCATTTGCGGTTGACTTACTGATGGCGAGCGTGAGGTCTCTGCGCTGGACGAAGCCGATGAGCCTCTCTGACTCTCTGGACACGACCACGGGGAAACCGTTGTAGTCCGTGTCTTTGATCAGCGTCTCCACATCCTCTACTGTCGTGGAGTCCTGCGTGAGGACAGCCAGCGGTGGGTCGTTCCTGCGGGGACGCATCACGTCGGTGGCGAGCGTGCGGTGGGTGAACTCGTCCCGCACGTCCAGGTACGGGTAGCCGTTTAGCAGGATGTGTGACTCGTAGATGCCCTCCTTACCGAATGCATCTGCCACCCACTTGCTGGTTACAGCGGCGGCCATCAGGGGGACGATGTACTCCAAGCCGCCGGTGAGCTCAAACATGATGACCACCAGCGAGACGGTCATCCTCGTTACACCGCCTGAAGCAACACAAACACAGCTGCTTCATCACAGGAGGAGACTTAATTCAACCATTCACAGTGTGAGACGTTTCTGCTGTTTACCAGGGGCAGCCAATCAGAACAAAGCTTGGGTTAAAAGGGGAGGAGCTAAAACAGCTTGTTTCAGGCAGGCCTGACACAAGGCCTCATCATGTCTACATCTTAAAGCTTCTAATGGGTGAACGGTGCACTCACCCAGGCAGGCGGCGGCTCCCACCATGGCGTACAGTCCTGGCGTGACGCAGTCGGCGCCGGGCCGGCACCAGTTCTTGAAGATGATCCAGTCGTGGTGATGGTAGGCCATCTGCTCCACGGCGATCCCGACGATCCGCCCGGCGATGGCCCCGACCGCCATGCTGGGGATGAAGAGACCCGAGGGGATCTGAGGAGGAAAGAGATCCGCTCAGAGAAACAGAAACAGGAAACAAACACCGACTTCCAGCCCATCGTCTTCCTCGCACTGACCTTCATGCCGAAGGTGAAGATGGTGATAACAATCTTGAAGATGAGTGCGAGGGTGAGCTGCCACAGGGCGTTGTAGACACCAGGTCCCGCCGGGCGGTCCGGGATGTCGTCCACCGGCCGGCTCATGTTGGGGTTGTTGACGTAATCGCAGAGCTGCGACGACTCGAGCGCGCCACAGTCATTGAAGAGCTCTGAGATAAGCTCGCTGGTGCTGCGGCGGGTGTATGGGTTGGGGTAAGCCAGAAGGGCAGTGATCCCCGTCACGGCGATCACCTCCAAGACCGGGTACTTCCCCAGCTGTGTGGTCTTCCTCCGCCGGCACCAGGCGATGTTGGCCCGGATGAAGAGAGTCCCCCAGAGGCCGCCGAAGACGCCAAGCAGGATAAAGGGCACCAGCTCGGCCATATACCACGGCGTGTGGTACTCCACATAGAAGAGCACCAGGCGGCTGTTTCCAAATGGGTTGATAGAGCGCAGCGTGAAGGCTGCGACCAGTGCGGCGAAGAAGGAGCGCCACAGAGTCTTCAGAGGGAAGTAGTAGCTGACCTGCAGGAGGAAGCACAGGACATCGTTAGGAGAGAGGAGGAGGAGCTACAGATACTCTGTGTCCGGTCTGATAGCCGACCTCTTCCAGGCTGAACAGGACTCCTCCGATGGGCGCGCCGAACGCCACCGACACTCCAGCTGCCGCCGCCGCCGACAGCACCTGCAGGAGGCAGACACACATACATCTAGGTGACTTTTCCTTCATCGAGGGGAGAGCGTGCACACTGTGAGGAAATCTTACTGCCCTTAAAAGGTCAAAGGTTAGGAGTGTTTTTTCCGCAGCATACCTCTCGCCTCTTGCCCTCGTTCTTGCTGTACTTGGAGAAAAGGCTGCAGAAGAGGTTTCCGCAGCAACACGCCACATGGACCAGAGGACCCTCCTTCCCCAGGCTCAGGCCCGACGACACGGCCAGCACCAGCGTGACTGTCTTGATCAGCAGGGTCCACTTCCCCAGGTAGCCCCGGATGATGAAGCCGCTGAGGATCGTCTTGATCTGCACAAAACATGCAAACAGACGGAGACATGTGAGAGCGAACGCACGACTGAAAGCGCAATCAGACTCCATTTAAAAAGTCCCACAGGAAAACTGTTAAAAACCATCTGTGTCATGGCTTCAGTTCCTGTATCTGCATGGGGGCGTGGCCTAATGCCACCTGCTGCAAGTAACACACCTCATTAGAAGCCTGCTCAAATGAACTGAGCCAACTCCAACTGATTGAATTTGTTTATCCAGTGAAAAAGTTTGTTACCTCCGGGATTCCCGACCCGCAGGCATACGGAGCGAATACTCGCACCAGCGACACCGCCAGGAAGGAGAAGAGCAGAGCCCATAGGATGTACAGGAAGTAGTTCAGCACGTACGCTCCGGCTCCCTGAGAGAACACAGAGTTAGCTCATCACTCTGTCCACTCATTGAAGAAACACACACAACCACTAAAAGCGGGCAACTCAACCTCGGCGTGGCCTGTCATCAGCTCCGCCCACTTCTGCCACTGTGGGCACTTGTCCCGGTCGTCAAACGTGGTCTCGTTGGAGGTCCAGCAGCACTGCTCATGGCTGTACCAGAACGCCGAGAGGCACACACCCTCCTTCAGGTCCGTCATCCAGTCCACGGCGAGGTCGATCACACCGGCCAGCGTCCCTGTGGAGGAGAAGGGGAGGAGTCATTCCACCTCAGAGACACCTTCATCACTCTCAGATTGCTCCTGTTTCTCTTCCGGTGTCGCTCGGACATCCAGAGAGACGTCTGCAGCTTCAACAACAGAGTAAGAAACAGAAATAAAGGTAAAAAGGAAGCTAGATAGATGAAGCCTGGGAACTTTAAGCCCAGCAGCACGAAGAGGAGGAGGAGATCAGAGACACGGCGAGCCTGACCAGAGAGGAGGCCGATGAGCAGCATCACCACCCATCCCGACCAGGCGTCCAGCAGGCTCTTAATCAGCTCCCAGAGGGACTCTTTGCTCTTGCTGGTGATCTGCAGAAACACAGGATCAACTTACAGGTTCACTGTGTGGATTTCAAATAAAAGCTCACGCGTCATGTGTCACGCCTCACAATGAGGAGGGAGAGGAACAGATGAAGCACACACCTTACGGTGGCGGTCTGTGTCCCTGGATTTCTCTCTCAGCCAGTCAATGGTGTGGAAGTCCTCGTACGTGCTCACATCGGGGAAAGGCTCATCCAGGAAGTCCATCAGGTTCCCGGCACCATTCATCTCCTCCGTGGGCGTGGCGGCACTTACACCTGGAAGAAAGTGAGGACGTCATCAGTGTTAATTTGATTTGTAAACACTCACTGTTTATTTAACGTTAATGTCCATGCTCATCGGTTTAATGAGATTTCACCAGCTCAACACATTCATATAAATAAGAATAAAAGCTTAAATTAAAGATCCACGTGTTTTTAATAATATGCATTTCTGTTTATACTGAGGAGGAGGAGCCGGGTGCTGTCAGCCTTTACTGAATTCAAAGATCCCGATGAGTTAAAAGGAGGGGGGGAAACATTTCACCTGCCTCATATCACAGGATGAGGGCAGATCTCCTCACTTTTACCTGAAGAACAACAACAACTATCTCCTCTGACATGAATGCAATCACCACCGAGAGTCTCCACTGTGTTTGTCAGACTTCGCACCTGAAATGATCCAGCAGCACAAACAGCACTGCGGAGCCTTTATTTACGTTAGCTCCTGAAGCTAACCAGGCTAACTCAGCATCATTTCACTGGCTGTTGTTGTTGTTTACCTTCAGCGACCTCCATGTTGCTCCGTGCTCACCGCTGCGGGTCTAAAATAAAATCTCTTCAATTATTAACTGATACGTTGTCAAATAAAAATGTCATTTTAGTAAAATTCACCGAGAGAAAAATAAATAAAAGCCTACAGGAGCGTCGCAGAAGGCTCCCTGCAACCTGCCAGTATCGCGATACTTCGGGATCGCGCTTTGCTTGGACCACCTCAAAGCTCGTCGTGTTTCAGGTGTTTGGAGTCTTTTCTGCCCTCTGGTGGCCACGCGTGGGAGTTACAAGAAAGAGTAAAGTTTGAAAAATTACAAACCAAAGTCAAATGTATTTATAGCACATTTAAAACAAGAACCGTTGACCAAGGTGGTGTACAATTAAGATAATTGAGAGAAATAAAAACAAAGGGAGACATGATAAAAGTTAAGAAAAAGAATCATAAAATTAGAAGATTTGAGTAAGAAATAAGATAAATAAAAGTAATACAAGCTCATTCTGATTTAAAAGTCAAGGATTAAAACTGGGTTTTCAGACGGGTTTTAAAAGTGTCCAATGTCCAATGACTAAAATTTACAGCTGACTACATGGACAAGCTAAATGTCTTCTGGAGAATTTTTTATGGTCAGATCAGACAAAGATGGAATTATTCGGACACAATGATGAGTATGTTTGGGTGAGAAAAGTCAATTGGACCTAAGAACTGTCATAAATCATGCTCTGGGGCTGATTTGCTGTGAAATTCTTTGAAAATGTGTGGGTTAAGTCCATATCAGGAAACTCTTGGCATTTGCATTTCTACCAAAGAGAGTCTCTGCAAATATCTAGCCAGAGTTCAAAAGCTTGCTGATCAAAAGGAAACTTGCCAAAAGAGACATTTATTAGTGGCGTGCATGTTTATATTTGAGCCTGTATGTAAACTTGACTACGTTTAGAGAAAAACCTAAATAAGTTCAAAGTTGTGCACCCAATTCTTATTTTTTTTTAAAGTCAGTAAAGATGCATGATGTGCAGTTTACCCCACCCTGAAAAAAAAGCAGTTACAACACCAGTTTAAAGATATTTACAACATTACAGTGAGCTTCACTTCCAATTGAATGTTTACTGGTAAACAATGTCTCTCACCTGCTGAAAGAGGTGGGGGAAAACCTGAAGGATGAGAAATTCAGCGTCAGAATTCAGAAATGAAAGTGAGAGATACACCTGAGCAAAAATCTATTTCTCTTTAAAAGAACCTAAAACTTTACTCACTGAGTCTTTTGCTACAACACAGCAGGGCTTCTGTCCAACACAGCTTATAGGTGACCATGATCAGGCTGTTTTAAATGTCCACATTTAAACTCTCCTCTTTCACAGTTTAGGAATCAAACATCAAATACAAAAACAACCCTACACCCACTTCTGTGACAAACATGAGTTTTCTTATTTGGACAACTCTTTGGTAATCTTGATCTGTGATTGGCTGAAAAGTGATAAACTTTGTTGTTTCTTTGGTTGTTGAACCATGTGGGAACCGATACAGTGTATTGTAAATTATTAGAATTAAATAAACCATTAAAATAAATGTAGTAAGATGTGACACAAAACTCTAGATGGATGACATTCCACTGATGAAAGTTGGATGATACTGAAGGATGAAACTAAAAGCATGTGTAACAATAGAAATTCACTTGAGCGGAATCAGTTTCTTTTCAAAGGAACATTAAACTGAGCTCACTGATCCTTTCATATCAGCACAGCAGAGCTTCTCTCCAACACTGGTGAGTACAGATGATCATGATTGAACTGTTTAAAAGTCTAAATGTGGATCATCCTCCACAGACAATGAAGTTTACAATTAAATCTCTAATCTCAGGGTCAACTGGATCCATCAGGTTTTCCTCAACAACACAGCAGAGTCTTTACAAACATTGGTAAGTGAACTCATGACACTCACTTTCACAGCAACTTGTTCATTCACATTGTTTTAAATTTTAAAGGGTGAGAATTTCTTTGACTTGTATTGTAAAGACACATATGTTGTGGACTTTTTGGTCAGAATTTCTGACATGGGCGGTATCTTGGTGATGGGATCCAATGGTTGGCCAGACGTCTATTTTGCTTAGAGGGCCTTCTCATGTGGACCTCCCTAACTACCAACATGCAAGATGTTGTAGTGAGGAAACAGTAATCTTATCTTTGACAGCAGATGATTTATGTTAGTGGGTAACCCAGTAAAGACTTTAATGGGGAAAGACCAGTAGAGAGAGCAGTGGAAGTCATGTGTGTATTTGATCAGGACAGTTTGAAGCTCAGGAGGACTGGTTAAAGGAGGCAAAACACCAAAGGGCAGCTTATACCTCTTGGTTAGCTTTCTCCATTGCCCGGTGGTCTGGGGATAGAAATCAGAAGAGAGACTAACTTGAGCTCTCAGGGGCATTCACACTGATGACATTCAACATCATCCCTTCGATTTCTATCTTCCAACAGATCTAAGACTAAAAGAACTGTGTGATACTTTTTATTTAGAGCAGTGTGACATGTGAACTTTGGGATCACAGGGATTAATTTCACATACACTGACTTTTATTATTTCAAACTTTCATCATGTTTATCTTGACTATCCAGCACTGGAAAAGGAGACATAAGACAGAAAGGAAGAAAAAGCAGAACAAGTCTAAATATGATTAAAACTGAATTTAAAATAAAATCATTTTCTTTTCTTTCTCACTCAGGGTGCAGACATGTCTGCTGCCAGCTGTCTTCTATCTGAAGATCAGTTTCTGTGCTCCATCTGTCTGAATGTCTTCACTGATCCAGTCTCCACACCATGTGGACACAACTTCTGCAAAAACTGCATCAGTCGACACTGGGATATCAGTGACAGGTGTCAGTGTCCTTTGTGTAAAAAGATCTTTCAGACCAGACCTGAGCTGCACATCAACAGTTTCATCTCTGAGATGGTTTCTCAGTTCAGACATGAAGCTCAGACGGAAAGTCAGCAGCAGCAGCTCAGAGCAACAAGCTGCCAAACCAGGAGAAGTTCCCTGTGACATCTGCACTGGAACCAAACTGAAGGCTCTGAAGTCCTGCCTGGTGTGTCTGGCCTCCTACTGTCAGACTCACCTGGAGCCTCACCTGACAATGAAAGGTCTGAAAAGACATCAGCTGATCGATCCTGAGGAGAACCTGGAAGGAAGGATGTGTATGACGCATGATAAACCTCTGGAGCTGTTCTGTAAGACCGATCAGACATGTATCTGTATGCTCTGCTGTGTTTTTGACCACAATACTCATGAGTTTGTTCCTCTGAGAGAAGAATGTGAAGTAAAGAAAGCAGAATTGGGGGAGACTGAGGCTGAAATTCAACAGATGATCCAGAAGAGACGAATGAAGATTCAGGAGATCAAAGAGTCAGTGAAGATGAGCAAAGATGCTGCAAACAGAGAGAAAGCAGAAGGTGTTCAGGTCTTCACTGCTCTGAAGAAGTCTGTTGACAAACACCTGAATGAGCTCATAAAGGAGATTGAAGAGAAACAGGAAACAACAGAGAAACAGGCTGAAGGTTTCATCAAAGATCTGGAACAGGAAATCTCTGAGCTGATGAAGAGAAGCTCTGAGGTGGAGCAGCTCTCACGCTCTAAAGATCACCTCCACCTCCTCCAAAGCTTCTCATCCCTGAAAGCTGCTCCAGCCACCAAGGACTGGACAGAGGTCAGTATCCATCCACCATCATATGAGGGGACTGTGGTGAGAGCTGTGGATCAGCTGAAGGAGACACTCAGTAAAGACATGAAGAAGCTGTTTGAGGCTGAACTGAAGAGGGTCCAGCAGTATGCAGTGGATGTGACTCTCGATCCTGATACAGCACATCCTTATCTCATCCTGTCTGATGATGGAAAACAAGTACACTGTGGTCAAGAGGAGAATGATCTTCCAGACAACCCAGAGAGATTTTCTGAATTTCCCATTGTTTTAGGAAAGCAGAGTTTATCTTCAGGCAGATTTTACTTTGAGGTTCAGGTTAACGACAAGACTGAATGGGCTTTAGGAGTGGCCAGAGAGTCAGTCAACAGGAAGGAAGTCATGACATTGAGTCCTAAAAATGGTTACTGGATTGTAGGAGTATGTGAAAATATTTGTGTAGCAGTTGATGACCTTCCAGTCCATCTCCCTCTTCAGTCTGGTCCTCAGAAGGTGGGGGTGTTTGTGGATTATGAGGAGGGTCTGGTCTCCTTTCATGATGTAGATGATGTAGATGTGATATATTCCTTTTCTGGCTTCTCCTTCACCGAGAAACTCTACCCATTCTTCTGTCCCGGCAGTAATGATGGTGGTAAAAACTCTGATCCTCTGATCATCTGTCCTGTCAATCAGTGAGTCTGATCTTTTTCCATGAGGAAATTGGAATAAATACAGATTAATCTTAACATTTAAGCTGACAGAGAAGAAGTCCTAAAAACATAACTGAGCAAACTGCACCTGCTAATGAAGAAGCTGCAAAACAAGCCAGTAAACTGAACTTTAGCTGATTTTTCCCATTTGTCTGAGGAAGTCCACTGTGACAAAGAAGAAACTCTAGTCGTCTTTTCTTGCATTGTATGGCAAAGGCACAGACATTAAATTATATACTGTACACAGAAATGAGTACAAATGTTAATATTTTATTATTTTTACTTATCTGTTGTTAACTATCAAAATATGGCGGATAAACTGTTCTGTTGTCTTAACATGCACAGTATGCTTATTCAGAATGAAAGAATTAAAATCCGAACGTACCATCTTTTTTGATCTTTTCTTTGATGACAATCAGCTGCTGAGCTTCAGCCTTCTTACCTCTGAGGTGATCACAGAATGAGCGGCTGTAAACCTTTAGAAAGACCCACATTTGCATCAGTAAAATTATTAATAACATGCAAGTGTTAAATACATCTTTCAGATGATTTTTAAACATTTTTGGAGCCCTGAGATATTTGATTTAAAAAAAGACACCCCACTGACATTCATTCATTACTTGTGCACATGTTAAGTTGTGGTTGTGGTATTTAAACATTTTATTAAGGTGGCACGGTAACAGAGCAGTTAATGCTGGGGAGAGTCCTCCTGAATAACTCACTCTCCAGATCCAGCAACTAGTTGAACTAGTTTTTCAGCGTCACTAAGAGACAGGATATTTCTAACTTTAGAGATGTTGTGCAAATGGAAGAAAGCAGTCTTACATATTTGTTTAATATGTGCGTTGAAAGACATGTCCTGGTCAAAAATGACTCCAGGGTTCCTCACAGTATTACTGGAGGCCAAGGTAATGCCATCCAGAGTAAGAATCTGGTTAGATACCATATTTCTAAGATTTTCAGGGCCGAGTACAATAACCTCAGTTTTATCTGAATTAAGAAGCAGAAAGTTAGCGGCCATCCAGGTCTTTATGTCTTTAAGACATTCCTGCAGTTTAACTATTGGTGTGTGTTATCTGGCTTCATGGACAGATAGAGTTGGGTGTCATCTGCATAGCAGTGAAAATGTATGCTATGTCTTCTAATGATGCTGCCTAGGGAAGCATGTGGAACACCATAATTAATTACCTCAGTGTGTGAAGAGGACTCTCCATTTACATGCACAAACTGGAGTCTATTAGATAGATATGATACAAACCACTGCAGCGCAGTACCTGTAATACCTACAGCATGTTCTAATCGCTCTAATAGGATATTATGGTCGACAGTATCGAACGCTGCACTAAGGTCTAGCAGGACAAGCACAGAGATGAGTCCACTGTCAGAGGCCATAAGAAGATCATTTGTAACCTTCACTAAAGCTGTTTCTGTGCTGTGCTGAGCTCTGAAACCTGACTGAAACTCTTCAAATAAACCATTCCTCTGCAGATGATCTGTTAGCTGTTTGACAACTACTCTTTCAAGGATTTTTGATATGAAAGGAAGGTTGGAGATTGGCCTATAATTAGCTAAGACTGCTGGGTCTAGAGATGGCTTTTTGAGTAAAGGTTTAACTACAGCCAGCTTGAAGGCCTGTGGTACATACGACTACGGAAAAAAAAGGGATTGGCCAGCTCTTGGATTTACGTAAGCATCTTGTGTGTATTTAACACAAGTGCCTCATGCTTTAAAGTTAAGTGTAACTATATAGTGTAGAAACTACATGATATGCAGAGAAGCTAGATTAAATTGGTCATATCATGTTCGAGTGAAGTAAGTCAATAACTTACTGCGACACTGCACGGGATTTCAGTCTTGTGCGCTTTGGATCGTGGTTTCAGGAAGGCATCCATCTCAGTCAAGTCGAGCTGCCGCCTGTACTTTTGGTT